TCGCACCCCGGCCCAGCCCGGTCGTTTTTTACGGCCCGGGCGGGGCCAACCGTCACATAAGTGACCGTTTTCGGCCACAACGATCACAAATGTGACCGTTAAGGTCGGCCCGGCCCGGTCATAACGGTCATTTTGACCATTTTGATCGTTTTGCCTCCAAAACTGTCAAAAAACGGTAAAAAAAATGAGGTTATTTATATTTTTAGGTAAAAATTTGTAATAAATTATTTTTAAAATAGTTACAAATGATAGTGATATAAGTAAGTAGGTGCTAACCTAGTTGAGATGTACTCATCTATTGTGATGTAACGAATTCGAAAATAAATTTATAATTGCAAAGAATTTACTGATTATTAATAAATAAGTTATTTTTATCATTTTAATTTTTTGTATTTGTAATTTATATAATTTTAAGTGATTAATAATACTATTGTTTTTTATTAAAATTTTGTGTAATTTTTTATGTATTATTAAAAATTTAAAGAGAAAAAAAATTTGAAAAACAAAAAAACCGGGCCGGCCCGAGGCCCGGTCCAACCCGGCCCGTGTTCGTGCTCCGATTTTGCCTGGCCCGGACCCGATTTTTCGGGCCGGCCCGTTTGGACACCCTTAAGAAAACCTAATTAAGTTTGAGTTTTTCTCGGTTAATCCCCTTTAACTTTGAAATTGTCACAAAAGGCTACTTAAGTTTTTGGTTCTCAGAAAACTCCACTTCAACTTTCAACATCATTCAAAAAAAAAACAAAAACTCTTGCTGGAATTGACCGCAATTCTCATGTGTACAATTAAATTACGCAAAGAGATTTTTTTATAGTAAAAATTGTGCTTCATATTTTAGGGGTTTTTTTGAAAATTAAAAGTTAATTAAAGGGGGTTTTCAGAGAACCAAAAAACTTCGAGGTTCGTAAAATCTGTGAAGTTATTTGAGAAACTACCAAATCTGAGAAACTCCTAAACTAAGAGGATTTTTGTGAATTTACCCTTTTAATGGGCTGGGAGCCTGGGATTGCGTAGAAATTTGGAATTTTGGGTTTGGTTCTGTTAAAGTGAGTTATCTAAATTCAAATGGGGTTAGTTTTCTAGAGAGATGAGTTTTTAATGGGGGGAGTGGGTTCTTGCCTTCTTGGTCCTCTTTGATCAAACTCGTAGTCTGATCACCAAGACATCACTACAAATCTACAAGTATATGATATTTCTATCAAATTTTAATGACCAACCAAATATAGGAGGCAAGGGCGGTCAACAAGGCAAATAGTGCGGGCGCAAATTTGTTAAAGCCACTAACGTTAGGTCAAAACTTCAAGTTAAGGGTTATAGTTTTATATCTTAATATTGCACGCAAGGGTTGAAGGCCCTTTTATCAGCTGTAATCTGGACTCATACAACAGTGTCAAATTTCAGGAGATCTGTTTTTAAATGGATTTTTTTTTTCAAAATAGACTGATTTTGCTAGGGGTGTGCAACGGTCGGTTCGGTTCGGTTTTTACTAAAATTTGAACAACCGAACCGAATCGTCTATAATTCAAAACCGAACCGAACTGTTGCAAGTCGGTTCGGTGCGGTTCGGTTCGGTTCTAACTTCATCAAACTTCTTATCAAACAACAAACTGTGTTAAAGAAAAAAAATATCAACAAAGTAGAAGATTATGAAGCATTAAACACTGATATAATGATATTATTTTTAACCCATAATGATTCAGAAAATGAGTTTAGGGTTTGAGTCTTTGACTCTTTGGGGATGGGTCGGGTAGTGTTTGAGATCAGAATGGGTAGTATTGCACTATATTCGATCGGTTTGGGTCGGTTCGGGTTGAAAAGTTTTCAAACCGACCCGAACCGCCCTACTCATAAAACCGATTTTTTCGGGTCGGTTCGGGTCGGTTTTTTCGGTTTGGACCGAACCATGCTCAGCCCTAGATTTTACTAAATATTTAGTAAAATCGATAATTTTGCTAAATATTTAGCAAAAACGACCTCTTTTTGGCCAACAGGCCAAAAAGAGATCGATTTTAAAAAACGCCTCTCAGAAAACATACGGAACTCGTACTCCCGTGTATGTTTTCAGTGTGCTAATCACAGAGTAGTACTCTTAGAAAACATATGTGACTACTAGTACCGTATATTTTCTGGGAGATTAGTGCCCTTGAAAACATACGGGACTAATAGTCTCGTATGTTTTCAGCTGGGCATTTTTTAAAATCGACATTTTTTGGTCTGTTGGTAAAAAAGAGATCGATTTTACTAAATATTTAGCAAAATTGTCGGTTTTGCTAAATATTTAGCAAAATCGGTCTATTTTGAAAAAAAAATCCTTTTTAAATTTGTGGTCAGTAGGATTTGAACCCGAGTTGCTTTAATACCATATTAAAACTCCTAATCATTACTCCAAAACTCCGAATTTATAGTTAGAGTTAAGGATAATATTTTTATATTCTTATAAAATTGATTAAATATGATTCTTAGGGGTCAGTGGGGTAGTTGACCCCATTGTCATCCTCATAGCTTTTGGGGTGTAATTAGTAACTTTTTGATGTAAACACGCTAATATACTCTGTGGTTATACCTTAGGGCCCCGTTTGGTACGCAGGAATGGGGTGGAATGGAATGTCATTCTCACTTTTCATTCTCTCATACCAAACAAAACTTGTTTTTAGATGTTGGAATGACCATTCCCATGGAATGGCCATTCCCACTTTTTATGGGAATGAACATTCTAAGTGAGAAGATAGGGAATGATCATTCCCATTCAATGGGAGAATCAAATTAGTTTGATTTTTTTTTCAATTATACCCCTATTGATAATAAGAATCAATTTAAAAATCATGGCTTTTGACTACGTATTCTCATTTTCTCTCAGCTACTAATTATTAAAAATCATGGCTTTTGACTACGTATTCTCATTTTCTCTCAGCTACTAATTATATTCGAACAATAGGAATTTTTTGCGGGGTAGGGATTAAAACTAGTGGTACATATTTCAGTAGCATAATAAAACTAGCGGTACATACTTTATTAGCCTATTATATCACAATTACTCAACATAGGAGCAACACAATTTAATATAAAAACAGATACAACTGAAACTATATATTATTTGCCGATTGAAATTCTTTCATGTTAATATTTTTTTTTGTCAATCAATTTTTTTTGTTTATTCACCAATGTTTAAAGTCAGTTATTTTCACCAGCATATTATATTCTTTTTGAACTTTTGCTATTGTTTTCCCACCATAGAGAACGATATGTACCCATTGCGTACATGTTTGATTGTTGTTCGTGCACAACAATAAATCTAACTTTTGATTAAAAAATATTTGACCCAATATTTATGAAAAGAGGAAACTCTCACTGAGAAATTGGCCAAAATATTAAAATTATCAAAACTATATCATGTCTAGACTATATATAGAGGTATAAGGGCGTTATTATAACACATACCTAGATTAATATAACATATGCAGAAATAGTGAGAATTGTTAAAAAAAAATATAATCAAAACATACACCTGATCGATAACATGCGCATTCGTATAACACATACCTAGATTAATATAACATATGCATAAATAAAATTTTTTAGTTATTATCATTAATGTTTTTTTTTATATTATTAAAAATCTATGTTGTTATAAGGGCATTATTAGAAAATAAGATTTCATTCTCACTTGTGAACTAGTGATACCAAACATGAGAATGAGAATTAGATTTTTATTCTAGCTTCATTCTACAAACGCACCCAAACAAGAGAATGGGAATGACCATTCCATTCCATTCCTTTTTCCATTCTATTCTCACTTGACTTCATTCCCACGTACCAAACGAGGCGTAGGAGTTTGTGGGTGAGATTTTGGCTAATGTGGGATGTTGGGGCTTTCAAAGGGAACTGCACATCTTATCAGAACCACACGCATGAGGCGGGTGGTTCTGATCCATTAATGATGGGAACAAGTTATCAACCCANTGGAAGATCAGAATTGCCTTTTCGTATGCGGGCAATTCTGATAGGAATGATACTCTTCAAAGGGGGCTTTTCACTTTGAAAGCCCCATGTTTTTCTCAAAAAATATAAATTTACAAATCGCAAAGAACTTTTGCGACTGCAGTTAGTCGCAGGAAGTTACAGTGACAATGAAACAAACTAATGTAACAATAAGCATATTATTGGTAAAACTGCAACTACGATCGGTTTCAGTACATTTCTCTGCGAATCGTTGCGACGAGGGGCACTATTTGTTTGTAGTTCAAATAGAACTGTTTTGATAAGGATGACCGTCCTGCTTTCTGAACTGGATGGGATTTTGTGGTCATCCACACGCACATGTGATGGCACGGTGAAGGTTTTGGGTTCCAAATTCCGTCCAAAATCGTTGGTTGGTATATGCACGTCAAAAATAGAATTTACCTTGTGGACGTTGAAGTTGAATAGAGAGGCTATACACACAGTTTCAACGGTAAAAGAGATGATCAATGTCTCTCGTCGCTATATATCGGAATGATAACCGTAGACGCTCGCTATATATCGGAATGATAACCGTAGACCAATCAACTGGTACGAGAGAAGCAATATTCTCTCCACTACTTTTTAGTAACGAAGATGATCCGAATCCGAAAATTAGACTATCAACATGCACATGTAATCACCGTTGACCCCGGTAAAATGACAGCTTACATGGTGACAGGAAATATATAGACATTAGCGTTGCAAGGGAATATTGGAACTGCTAGCCTTATATAAATTCCTATGTCATGGGTCAATAAACGATATACAAGCAAAATCACACGAAGATGTGCAAGTTGATATTAGGTAAGCTGTCGCTAGTTCTAGCTTTACCAAGGGAAAAGGAGCGGAGTGAGATTCATTTTGTTTAACTCCAGTGGCTGCTTAAAAATCGATTATCGACTTCTGTTGCTAAAATGAAGTTCGCTATGACAATCCCATACAGATTTCATGCATAATTTATCAGAAGCGAATAGAATACTTGTGGTCCGTGGACGTTGCCATAAGCCAACATACACCAACGATATTTTACCAAATAGATCAACAAGTTGTATGAAAACATCTTTACTTTATATCAAAGGAGCGTGCTATTCATGCCAAAAAATAATTCCTCCCGTACAAAAATCACCGAAGGCTCAATGACAGATTAAGCTCCACTAAGAAGTCCTGAAAAACTTGGAGCATCGCCCTCTCGCTTATTAACTTGCATGAAAACACCAAAAGCTTCTGAGGCAATCAATCTGTATCGCTTAAGACGATGAGTTCTTCTTTCGCACAGAATCCAGAAATTTGAGGCAACTTAAGCATAGTTAAGTTACCATAAGATCACAGAAGTAATGGGTCTCAAATGGATACAGGATGCAATGGGGCTCAGCTGTGGGAATTATATACTCCAGCTAGTCCACAGACCTGTTGACCATAAATCAAGTCCCAGAAACATATATCCATATGTCAGCACTGCTACCCATATCTAGAAAATTATAAATATCGGTATCTTACAATCATATCTTTAGATGATATGTGCAGCACATACGAACCCAACAACATGAAGTTAAGGAAGATAATTGCAGGTAAAGGACATCTGGAAAAATAAGAAAGCGAGTGGTAATTTACTTGAAGATGAAACAAAACCAATGTATAAACTCTTATGACTGGACTCTTCACAGAAAAGCGCTTCAGTCCCAAAGGTTAAGTAACATAGGGTTGCCAGAGCGTGTTGACAAAAAGAGAGGTACGCAATAACTTGCGTTAGTTTCATATGCCTTGTTAAAGGTAAAGATGAATCAACGAAGTGTTTAGAATGGAATTCATACCTTTCATATATAAAAACTAGGAGCAGTAACCACTGACAAATAGGTAATCAATTCAATGGACACAAATAGAGACTATCAAGATCAGTAAATATTTATTAGCTCGGCTAAACAGTCAAAGGTCTCAAATGGCCACAAAGTCATTAAGGGTCTGTTTGGTAACCAGTATTTCATTTCAAATACTGCATTTGGCCCAATTCTATTGTTTGGATACAAAAGAATTTGAATACTGGATATTGATCCAAATCCATTAACATTTGAAATCTATACAAAGCCCATAATTCTAAATTCCAACATATGGGCTGGCATTTGCAATTCCATCTCTCTCCGCTCCCGCTCTCGCGATCTCTCTCCCTCCCCGCGGAAGCGATCTCTCTTCCTCCCCACTTCCGCTTTCGCGATCCTTCTCCCTCCCCACTTCCGCTCTTAACCGGCGATGGCGACGACGACGACAACGAGGAGATCCAGTTTCAACACCGGCGGTGCTGACGACGACAACGATGAGGAGGAGGATATCCAGTTTCACCTGCAAGCCTTAATTTCACCTCCGGTGACGACGGCGATCATCGAAAACGGTGAGAACTTCTCGATCCCAGTCCTCTCTACTTCTACCGAAACCCTAACCCTAGATAGAAATTGAGATTTTGGGATTCAAGCTTAAATTGAGATTTTGGGATTCAAGCTTTGACCTCTCTTTCTCTTCTTCTATATGCCAACGTTGGTTAATTTCTTTTTCTTGGATCTAGTAATGGATTTCATTTTTTTGGGTTAATTTTCGGTTTGGTTTGAATTTTCTGGGGATGCAGAATACTCATTTGAAGCAATATTTATCACCTTTAGGAGAAACATGGGGAACATACGTAAAATTACATTAACTTTTGTGGCACTTTGCATTATATAAACTGCATCTGTTCTTCTTAATACTTATGCATGGTAAACCTTTCTGATGCGATCTTATGCACTATACCTTTATTCAAAATTGCATATTAATCGGCTGCACTAAACAAAAGTGTCATCGAGTGCTAAAACTTTAGGATTGGTTATATTCTTTGATATTTTAGGATTATACATCTGAATGCAGACTCGAAGTTCTTTTGTACCAAATCATTTGTACCAAATCATTCATTCTCAGTATTGTTTGTACTTCAACATGTCTAGTTATTTGCTCTTACTCTACTATGTATTATATTTGTAATTAGTTTCTCCATTTTTTTTAGCTTTTGCACTTGTGTGAGTGAAGTATATACTATGCATGTGCCTCTGAATGTAACATGTAACGACAGGGAAAGTCTTCACTTGTGTGAGTGAAGTATATACTATGCATGTGCCTCTGAATGTAACATGTAACGACAGGGAAAGTCTTATATTTTGAGTGTAGTTGGAACTAAATACATGTGCCTCTGAATGTAACATGTAACGACAGGGAAAGTCTTATATTTTGAGTGTAGTTGGAACTAAATATGATTATTCGATGTTAGCTTTATTAAGATTATTGTTTGATTTTTGATGTTTTCATATGAGTACTTGGATTTGATGATACAAGTCTAAGAAGGAATCCTTATATGAGTTTTACATAAATTAAATCTCCGTCTTTGCACCTAATTTACTTTTTTGCGAGATAGTCAATATATGTTTGCATATGTGTTTGAATTTGAGTTATAGAATCCTTACTTTTTGTTTCATATTATTATCTTTAGTGTTTGATAATTACATTTAGTAATTCTAAATTTGTTATTCTTTTCCTTTACATTTACTCCATGTTACATGGTCTGATTCTATCTCTTAGATAAGTATAGTTTTACACATTAAATTTTGATGATGAAACAGTTTAGGAGAAAATATCAGACCAACAAAGTTTACATGGTCAAAGGAAACGTGCAAGGGAAGAAGTAGGAGAAGATGATGGGGAAAAAAGCTAGTTATCATAATTGTGACTTTCATAATAATGGTAGTTGGAGCATATCGTCATAGAAGAAAGTCTAGCATCAAGGAGATAACATGGAGTGAAGATGTACGTGCTCATAAAAGAGCCCTCTGGATGGACACATTAATGAATGATACAATATGTCGAGAGCAACTATATTTTAATAGGCGTTGTTTTGAGAAGTTGTGTGTCATTTTACGATCTAAAGGGGGATTGGTGACTTCTACGAATGTCACGGTGAGAGAAGCTGTGGTATTTTTCATACATGTTATTTCTCATAACTTGAAAAATCGAACTGTTGGAGCAATATTTTTTCGTTCCAGTGAAACTATAAGCAGATAATTTTATACGGTGCTCCGAGCGGTTATGAATATTGGGAAGTATTATGTCAAACAAGCAGAATCCACAACTAGTTATGCGGGAGATAACAAATGAAAATGGTTTGAGGTAATAATAATTTGTTTTTTGGATATATAGATTCGTTCGTGCAAATATGTAATCTATATGATGTTATGGGGTTGATTGTTAGGGTGTACTTAGAGCACTTGATGGGACACACATTCAAATGACAGTCCCTCTTGAGGATCGACCTAGATATCGAGATAGAAAGGGTGATATCAGCACAAATGTCCTTGTCGTGTGCTAATCTCCAATTTACTTATGTTTTACCTGGGAAGGATCCGCATCTGATCCTCGCATCCTTCGTGATGCTTTGCAGAGGCCTAATGGTTTAAAAGTACCAACAAGTAAGACATTAGCTTGGTGTTTATAGACTTTTCTTTTTTTTTTAACTAGTTTTTTCATGTTTAAGCTAAAATGTTTATATTTATGTTGTAGATAAGTATTATCTTGTGGATTTGGGGTTCACCAATAGTCGGGGTTTCTTAGCTCCATACAGAAGCACTCGGTACCATTTGAATTTGTGGCGAGGAAATACTCCAACAAATTATAAGGAGCTCTTCAATCTGCGACATTCATCTGCTCCGAATACTATTGAAAGAGCATTAGGAGTGTTGAAGAAACGATGGGCCATTCTTAGAACAGCAAGCTTCTTTGACAAAAAGACTCAAGTTAGGATTATAAATGCTTGTTTTATTCTTCACAATTTCGTAAGAGATGAAAATATGGAAGAGAATGATTTGTTGCATGAGGTGGATGAGGAGCTTGAAAATACAGACACATTTGATAGCGATAACGAGGTTGATGTTGATTACATTACAAGTGCTCGAGCAACGGATGAATGGAGTTTGTTCAAAGATGATATTTCTTTGGAGATCTTCAATGAATATCAAGCTCGGAGAGCTCATGCATCATAATGATTTAATATTATGAAATTGTTATCTATGAAATTCAAGTTTTTCTTTATATCTTGTTTCTTTGATGAAAGTATGCATCATCCGTGTGTGTGTTCAATGTTGCAAAATTTGCTCGTGTGCTATTTATTTGTTATAATATCTTCTTTTTGGTCTGTTTAATGAAGTTTCTCTGATTTTAGAGTTTTTCTATTAATATGATTTCCTTCTTTTTAAGGTAATGATTAGAAAATGTAAAGAGATATTGCCTCCTACACAAGGAGGTAGGAAAATGAGCTATCTTACTTGGAATCCACAAATGGACATGATATTGACGACTGTGTTTTACAATCAACTAGACCAAGACAATAAAGGTGAGGGGGGTTTGAAGCCTCAAGCTTATCAAGCTGCTGTTGATGAGTTAAAAATCCAAATTGGGTTTGTCTATCACGGTAGATCATGTACGGAATAAGGTAAAAGTTTGAAAGAACACTATGCCATCATCACTGAAATACGGACAAAAACCAAGTTCAGATGAGACGATGACAAGAAAATGGTGGTAATTACCATGGAGGACTTGGTAAATTGGACCAAGTATTGAGAGGTATGTTGAATATCTACAACACATGTTCATAAATCTGTCTTAGTATGTATTTGTTTGATTTTTTCCAAATCTTCGGCGTGGGTAGGAAATTTGATGCTGTCACCTGGGTAACCTGTGATCTATGAACAAAACTTGGACATTATTCCATGTTGAAAACAGATAACAAACTCACCTAAATTTTCTTTTTAAGAACAAACTCACCTGGTAACCTGTGACCTAAATTTACTATGTCCATGAGGTTTTTGTGTGAAAGACAATGAATGAGTGATTTTAATAAAATTTTCTTTTTAAGAACAATGTAGGGACCTGTAATTTCAACACAATTTTTATATATCCAGTGAACAAACAATCAGGACTTCTGTGGTTTCAGGTTGGCCATGTTTGCTGTAGGAATTTATATGAAAATTTTAAGGTTTTATGTTATATAAACAATTCATTTCCAATTTTCCTGTTCCGTTGTATGAGTGGAACTGTGTTGGAAAGTTACAGTTGAATTTCTGTTTCAAAAAAACACTCAAGAATTTGATTAAGGTGCAGATAGGTCATTGAGTGAGTCCTAAAGAGCCACTTAATATCCAAAACATAAAAGAGCTATTGAAACTATTACCACACAAACTGCAACAAACAAGAACATGTATTCTTCTAACAAAACATAAAAGAGCTATTGAAACTATTACCACACAAACTGCAACAAACAAGAACATGTATTCTTCTAACTTGCATAACCTTGAGGATTGAGTGTATTACCACACAAACTGCAACAAACAAGAACATGTATTCTTCTAACTTGCATAACCTTGAGGATTGAGTGGATCCTAAAGAGATGAAAATGAGGAAGGCTTAGAGGCCTGACTAAAGTCCCCGAAACAGCTTAACAATGTAGGAATTTATATACAAATTTGAAACATGGTTTGCTAATTATTACTTTGCGCAAGGTTATGCAAACTGCCTTTTTCTATGAGAATCATAAGAGCAGTCCTTATAGTTGGACGCAAACTTTGTATGAAGTCGTATGACATGACAAATATATAGGAAAGTGATGCCGACCCTTGTAGCTGGTATTTTCCTTTACCTGCAGACATTTCTATTCAGAAACATATAAGTTGTATTAATATGCGCTCTCTCTCTCTCATGTCTACTCCAAAATATATGTACTCAACTTATTATATGCTCTCTCTCTCATGTCTCCTCCGAAATATATGGTGTTGTGATACTAGATTGTCTCACTATGTTCTTGTATGTTCTTATGCTTGCATAGGTAAATTCAGATGCCAAGGCATATCAAAACAAAGCTATTGAGAACTGGGATGATATATGTGTTAGTGGGCACCGATAGAGCAACTAGCGAGGGTGCAGAGCAAATTGATGATTCTATTATAGCTATGAATATGGACGGTGCGAATGAAGGGGAGAGCTCTAGCAGAGAGGTTTCAAAATCTTCAACTTCTAAATCCAATAAGAAGCTCAAGGGAGACCCTTTAGCAAATGCAGTAAGTGATGTTGGTGAGATACTAAAGGAGTATCTAGTGAGTACGAACCCACGAAAAGCTGATTGCGAGGAGATTTATGCCGATGTATCTAAAGTGAGGGGTATTCCTCCACATTAATTTTTAAGGGTGGTTAAGAGATTCATTGATGGTTCTGCACATGATTTCGAATGTTGAAGTTACTTCCAGACAATCAAAAGTTAGATTGGATTATGCTATGTCTTGAAAACTCAGACTAAGATAAAAAATAACTCATTAACTTTTGCATCTATTTTGCATCTTCTTATGTGTGCATCTATGTAGTTCACTTGCAGCAGTTTCCTATATTCTCGTTTGTCTCTTAGTGTATATCAAACCTTTCAGTTGTTTAAAAGCATTTTTTTAAGGAAAGCAAGGAATACACTTGCACTTTTTAACATTCGTGTCTATTTTAAATTGTAAAATACATTGTGAAAAGCCTTAAATGCTTCCATATATAGAATGTCTATAGCTTTGTTGTTTTTATTTATGTAATCCATTTCCAACTTCCTTTTTGCACATTTCCGTTCATGTACTTATATCTTTGTGTGAATCGCATACGTATCCCTCCATTATTTAAAAAAAATGAATAAAACAATATTAATGGAGCAGATCATGCTAACTTAGGTTGTGAAATTTGAAGGCAGACTACTATCAATTTTTACATCTTAGTGCATATATAACTTCAATTTATCAATGTTTATATGTAATTACTTGCTGAGACGTTGCATTAAGATGAATACCTTGAGGATAATTTTATAACTTAGTTATAAACTGCAGACGTCAGGTAAAGCATGTTTTCATCGTGTAATTTTATCATTAAGTTGCTCCAATGTTTTAAATGTCGCCCGACATGTCCGACATGTCGGCCTACATATCGGTTTGAGGGCTTGCCCGACACGACATGGACGTTTTCAACTCGTATATCGGTTTTCAGGGTCAAATCGGAAATATCAAGGTCATATCAGGCATATCGATCTATTTTTTAGCTTTGAAAAATCGACCGATATGGTATTTTTTTAAGATCTATTTTTTGTTATCGGGTTTAGGTTTAGTGATAAATACTCAAACTCGTTTGACCCGTTCTCATGTTTAAGGGTTTCTTATGAGCCTGATAGAAAGAATTTATGAACCTAAATCCATATATTATTTACTTTTTTATATGTTTAGTCCATAGAATTTATAAAGTATGCTTATATTGAATTTATGAATGCTTAGATTACATTTAAGACATGATATTATACATATGCGCACTACCCAATATGGCAATCCGATATTTAGTCAATGTCCCCCGATATATCCCTGATTTCCGCTATCCGACATGGATTTCAGCCATCCGACATGAACCCGACATCCGATATTTAAAACCTTGAGTTGCTCCTCATTAAATTTAAAATAACAGTAGGGTATATGATGAAAAAACATAAAACAATGGGATCGTACAGGGGTGGCGACATGAAATCTGCGAGTATCCAGAATGAGGGGTATATGCAGCAATAGTCCCATATTCTATCTGTAATTTTCATTTTTAAGTCTTGAGGGTTTATATGCTAATAGATTATTTTCATAGTTATTTTTCTTTTGTTTTCTTGAGATTCCTTTATAGTATCACACTTTAAAATGGAGCTCATTTGGTCTTCTTATTATTTCAGATGATTTAAGACCTCGCAAAGCGGGACCTCTTGAACTGGGGAGAGAAAGCTACAATAAGAATTAAGAAATACAAAGCAAAAGTGTATAAACATTAGAAAAAAAAACTCTTATTTGAATTAGATGTAAAAGTTTTAAAGAAACTAGAGCGAGAGCAATTTAAGAATGATATTGTATAATGGGGAAATATTAACTAAAATTGTAGCTCGAACATATTTTGGATCTCTAGTTTGTTGAATTGTTATATGTAATATTTAAAGTTTCTACTTTATCTATTGTTTTGGTTAGTGGTGGACAAGTTTACAAAGTTTTATTGATGAATGATTTCGGTTATTTTTATGGTGATTATTAGGTGAACTATTGACATCACTACATTCGAGGTTTTAAAGTATTTAATCTATATGTCTTGTTGGTTGGATATGTGCTATACTATTTGAGGCATTTATTTCCACCAATTTCGATGCAAACCTTATGTAATTTGAGTATCTTATTTCCAAATTATCTTCGAGCTACAATTTTAGTTTAGAAATTAGAATTCTACTAGATGACAAACAACTTAATTGAAATTTTTAAAATTGAAATTCTAAAGTTTGCCAAATATGAATTTCAAATTGAATTCTGGAATTCAAATTTGGATGTTTCCCAAACGAAAGAATTGTATTTGGAATTCTGGATTTCAAATTTCAGAATTCAATTCTGGAATTTGAAATCAAATCCTCGAATCCAAACGCAACCTAAAGAAATTTATCAAATTATCGGATCACAAAAATATCCCATAACCCTGTCCCTTATTTTCAACAATTGACCAAGCAAGAGGGACTCCTGAGTCTTTCGACTCTTTCCAATTATTCCAGATAGGAGTCTAAGGACCATCACCTTGTAGAAGTCTGACCATTAAAAAGGAAACAAATACAATGTTTTGCCCAATTTGTGCCCATGCAGTTGTCAATAAATTAAGCTAACTACAGTTGGATGTGTAAAAGCTTAAATGATCGATATATATTTGCTCTGAATGATCAGGCCTTGAGCACAATCATCCCTACCCTCTCAGCCTTATCAAAGAAAACAGGTTCTGTTTTGTCTTTGGCATCTTCCAAGATAACCATCACACAAGAGTACACAACCTAAAATTCTGTGAGTTGCTACCAACACTTCAGCCTAGTTTCTAAAATCTCTCCCCTAATACATTGCAGCATTGTAGAATTCAATGACCAAGTTCGAGATAGGTTGGCGTGAATTTTATGTCTATGACACAATAATGTCGAACATGAAGGGAGAAACACTAATCTTAGAGAAATATCAGATCAGAGGAGATGGCAAGTGTATCAGTTATTTGATAACTGAAGCTAGAAAACTGAAGGTTCTAATGACAGTACGACAGATAAAAAGGATTGACTAAGATGTGAGGTTAAATTTACTTCCATACTTCTGAAATTTTATTAGGAAAGAGATCAGGAGATAAGATTGAAAGTCAAAATTTGCGACCAACACAGAATCTTTCAAAAAGGGTTTCCAAGACTGACAAGGGGAAACATCATGATTCATGAACATTCAAGGTTGCTTCAGGTTTTTGATTTACAGGTTAGCTTATCCTTTTACATCAGTTGGTTAGTACGGTGTGTTTATTTGACTTGTGTCTGTTCTTTTACTAGGGCGCTTGTTGACTAAATTGGAACCTAGAAGTTGCATAGGTGAACTGGATTAAAAGTCTACATTGCGAATATTCACTTCTCCCCTCTATTTATTCTTTTTATTCTCTTCTCATCTAAACTCGATGGAGAGATAAGTCAGTGGCTCTTTCCATTGTGCAAGCAAGATTGGTTGGATTAGCACATTTTTCGATAGGTTATATATTTACTTATGTAGCTTTCTTGATTACCTCTACATTAGAAAAAAAAATTAGTTAATTTAGTTATACTATGTTCAACTCTATGTATTCCTCTATCCGTAGAGTGGATTGAATGTACAGAAATGGCTATAACAGAGTTTTTGTTATTCGTATTAATAGCTACTCTAGGAGGAATGTTTTTATGTGGTGCTAACGATTTGATTCAGAAAGACCTAACTCTTACAGAATTAATAAAAAAGGGAATATTTATTATCGAACCAATTCGTCTATCTATGAAAAAGACGACAAGTTCTTCTGTTCTAGTTCACGATTTCTCTTGGCTATATGGTTCATCTGGGGGGGTCGAGCTTCATGAAATAGTGAATGGTCTTATCAATACACATGTATTTTGAATGACAATTGGAATATTTATTACATTAGCGAAAGCTTATTTGTTTCTGTTCATTCCTATCACATCAAGATAGACTAGATAGACTTTACCTAGGATGAGAATGGATTTTTGTTCAAGAATGAAATCTTATTAGAACCGTCCATATCTAGTTCATCCTTCGGAACCATATCACATCCAAATTTGATGAAATAGGATGAATATTCACTTCTCCCCTCTATTTATTCTTTTTATTCTCTTCCCATCTAAATTCTTCTCTTTTTTCCCTTATTGCTTTGGATAATAGTTGCTTCTTTCTTGTGTTGAGAGATTTGGTTAGGTCAATTCAATCTGCACCAAGATGGATTGATTATTAGAATGAGACTAAGTTTGATTCCGAAGAAGACACCACTCATTGAGCCTACGGTCTAACTTTATTTAAACATGCCCATAATCATCTTCCTAGTCAATTTGAGAATAATCTTATTAATCTCAAGCTTTTTTTGTTTTTTCAACCAAATTCATTAGTTTACATTATTAATCTACTATCATGTGAGTAAATGCAAAACTACTATTTCAACAACCTTTAAACCAAGGCTAAATTCTTCATCGTGACTCAATCTAGGTCAAGCCTATGCAATCTCTTTCTCATTCTTGCAAAGAAGACGGTTGTTTATGATCTTCTAAATTCCTTCATGAGCAAACAAGAAGAACTAGCTTTAAGGCTTTGCACATAGAATGGTGAACTATTTTGTTCCTTTTTCAATAGAGACAAACTAGGGGTTATTACTCAGCAATCAAATTGAAGGTACAATGACCACGGTGTCGATGCCAGTTGTTGAAAATTTTGGCTAAGATTCAACTGAAGATATATGCACTGAGGTGGTTTGTCTAATAAGATTTAAACATAATTTGATCCCAAAAGGTCAAATCTTGGATCCAACTTGTTTAAAAAATAATCCTAATCATCTTTTTCAACCAATAATCCTAATCTTTTGTTCCATTTAGCAAAGCTCATTAATCCTCCATGTTTTCTAATGGGTCACTTTGAACATTCATTAACGCAAAACACATATTTCAACAACTAGGATTCTAACTTTTTTATTTTTCCTGAAATTTGGATAATCTCCAACAAATTTCAAACACCGACCATCCCACTAAAACATAAAAAATTCCCTTACTTTCGTGCAATGCAAACCATAAATTTATGCCACTTGTATAAGCCATGAATCAAATCTTAAATCCCAGGTTCTTCACAATAATACATTTTGATCATCAAGCTTAGTAAGCAATTTCCTCATTCACTGACTAATCATATGAAACATTCTCAGGAAAAATTCCTCCTTCCCTCAATATACATCACATTAGTAAGCATTTCCTAGGTGTTGTTTCCCTTCCAAGGGCAAATCGCTAAGGCCCCGTTTGGTTGCAAAAGAAAAAGCCTGACAAAAGTCAGGCTTTTGTCAAGATTTCAGCCTTGTTATTATGCAACCAAATGGGGCCTAAGCATTAGTCACTTGTCTTCCACTAGAAATGCCACTTCTCATCTAACTTGCATGTGTAATATTGCCACTAGCTATCATCCTAAGCCAGGATCGAACTCCATGTGAGATTTGCTATTACATTGCTTGTAGCTTCCTCTTTCACAAACAAAGCCAATTCAAATTTTCTTTCTGTCCAAGTATAAGTGTTGAGCTTATTGCTCCAATGAATATCAAAGGGGTGGACACTCTCCCTCCCTCACTTTATAAACAAACTCAAAACAAAAGAAAATATATCCTCATATCCTACTTCCTGAAAAGTAAAATTGAGCATGTTGACCAATTTAGGAGACTTGAAGCATCCACAACCTATACTCAAGTAATTGCTTTCCCAATTTGCAGCCATACAGGCTAAAACATATTTCTTCCTATCCCTTTCCTCACTTACCAACTACATTGCGCATCTCCAGCCATCCCTCTTCAAAGCAACTCAAGCTCGATCATAGTCAATAAAGGAGACACTCCTAGTTTGGTGGAATCTTGTCTTTGGGCAATAATGGACCCTGTTAATCTGCAATGGCGCAGACACTCCTGAAACACCTAGATAGTATTTACCAAATGGAAAATTTGCTCATGATACTATTGAAATGAGCTAGTGTTATACTGGGTGTGCCAGTGGCTTAGCTGATTAAGAAAGGTATAGCATCTCAGCACTCCTTGATAAGGGGAGAAGGAACTCTAATGGACTCCATGTGAACTCCAGTGTGTCCTTTCCATTGAAGGTTGACCTGCCAAAAGAAGTTCCACCTGCTTCCTTATGTTTCATTTAGTACCACAACTTACGAAGTGCATAAACTATTTTCGAAACATTACAAACTAGGTAATAAATGAAAACCTAAACACCTATACTCCAACTAAATTGTGTCTCTATGGAACATTTAATTCATCAGATCAATGTGATATGCAAATGCATGCTCATAAAAGGAATCTTTCACAAGTTCTCAAGCAAACAGTAGTTACTTGTCCGAAGAGAAAAACAAATCCAGAATGTTTTTAAAAATGGAAGACAAAACATATATATCAGCATAAGCAATAGTCAACAAAGAAGTGGGTGCTAATGTATTACCCATTAGCTCATCGACATATGCCTATATCAATCTCCTCATTGACTTCGGCTTCCTAACAAAGCTCAGTCGCAACCTCTTCAGCCTTCTCCTCTTCTTCTTCATCTTTTCCGGTAATGTCTCCCTCTTCTTCACCTTCTTCTCTTTCTTTTTGACAACTCTCGGGTTCAGCCTATAAACCTTTGGCACCACAGGCACTCCCCTCGCTTTGGCCTCCTTAAACAGGGCATTGGCCCTATCCACCTGATTATGCTCCGCCAGCTTCCCAATCAACAAGTCATAGGTCTTAATCCCGGGTGCATGCCCATACCCCTTCATCAACCTAAACACCTTCATCGCGTGATCCACCCTCTCTATCCCACACAAGATCTTGATAAACCCATAATAAGCCTTTCTATCCAGTGCATTTCCAAACCCCGCCGACCTCATCCAAGTAATCATCTCATCCCCCTCTGAGACCCTAGCAGCCTGATACAAGCTCCTAATCAGAACCAAATAAGTCTCCGCATCTGGCGAGCAGTTCCACTCTCCCATCCTCCTGAACAAGCTCAACGCATCCTCCGTCTTCCTAATCTTGCACAAGTTGTATATCAAAACCTTGAAGGTCTCTGCATTTCGCGAAATGCTGTCCTCTTCCATCTCAGCCAGAAACTTCTCTGCTTCCTGCTTCATTCTCACTGGGTCCTTCATCCTACAAAGTCTACATATACAATCCAAGATCGAATTGTACGCCGGAGTCCCAAGCTCAAACCCTCCCCTAACAATCTCCCCGGCCAATCTCCTCGCATCATCGAGCTTCAGATCATTACACCACCCCCTGATAAGCTCGTTACAGATCTCCTCATCGGGGAAGATCTCGTCGGCGCACTTCTTGACGATCCTCTCTGCGTGACCAGCGAACTTGTGGTCGGCGAGTGCGGTCACCAGAAGCTTAAGATTTGCAAGTGACTTCTCAATCCCGAGATCCTTGTGGAGGTTCTCGAAAAAGGCGACCGCTTGNCGGCGGAGCGACATTTTTTTCGAGTTGGAGGTTGGAGAGGGTTTGGTTTCTTTTTTGAGTAAAACCCTAGTTGCGTGGGCTGCAACTACGGCCCTCAAGTTTGGGCCATTGGTGACATAAGACCACAGCGCAAATGAAAGAAAGCCCAAAATAGCTTTTTCGGTGAATTGATCATTAATTGAAATTTCCTTTTCTTTTTTTTTTTTAAATTTAAGGTTTAAAGTTTCAGGGCATATATTAGAAATAAAGCAATAGTTGTTGCTATGCAGAATAAAGTTTCTTTCTCTTTGGGCTTTTAACAAGTTAGAGCGAGTATTTTGCAAAGTTTAGCTCTCATATTAGTTCTGTTATACCCTTGAAATTACTGAGCCTACTAAGAGTAGCCACATAACCACTAACTGGCTGAATCTCAAAGCATCTGCAAGCACAACATGGGTGATAAGCCAGCTGACCAGCCTCGCTATCCAAATCCAAGAGGAAAGGCGCTTTCGACCTGGACTCTGCTGGATGTCTGACCTTGGGACGAAGGGCGTCCTCCACTCAGACTCAACACAATGCATCTCGAACAATGGAACAACCTCACAAACATCATCAAAATTCATGTTGCATTCAATGAATGTACAATCAGCGCTCACACTTCGTCGTGCAGTTGCCATCAACAACTAATGTGGCGTCAGAGTCATAATGACCTTTCGAACTACAGTCTTCAAAGCTCCTCGGACATGTCATTGTTAGCCCTTATGTTTTGATGATGTTTTACAACCACCATTAATGGTACTAATGGCTTCTTGAGTGCAAATGTAGTAAATTCATTTATCAAGCTTGTTAGTGCTATTTATGGAGGATTGGATGGAATATATGCTACAACGATGATATCCAAAGGAGGAGGAGGCATAGTGATGAAGCAACGTTATTTCAAGAACAACAAATTCATATAAAAGCTTCATCCAAAATCAAGTTATATCAAGACTCAAAGATTATATTCTATGTGAGGATATTAGTTAGTTTTTTTTATTCTCTCTCTAGTATTAGAATGTAGGCAAAGAGTTATTGAATTCACTTGAAGCTATTGGGACTCACACACACATTTTCATACTTAAGCTTTTAAGCGTTTTTCACAAAATACTATTTTTCACAAGTATGAGGACCTATCTGCAAAATTCTTTTTCCAAACAGATTGTTTTTAGTATTAAAAATATTTTACAAAGTTTCATAATTTTCAGAGGTCATATAAATATTTTCAAAATATTTTAGTTTGAGTCAAAACAGTTTTCTGGAGCATATCAGAATGCGGTCGACCGCACCGGTCGATCGCACTTGAGGTCATTCGTCACTGGGCTCCAGAGAGGTCATCGATCGACCGGTGCGGTCGACCGAAATCTTGATTTTTATATCGGTCGACCGCACCGGTCGACCGATGATGGCCACTTGAGGTCATTCGTCACTGGGCTCCAGAGAGGTCATCGATCGACCGGTGCGGTCGACCGAAATCTTGATTTTTATATCGGTCGACCGCACCGGTCGTCCTTGTTTACTGTGCTTTCACTTAACTGTGTTTGGCACAGTCTGTGGCAATAGTCTGAAGAAGAGATTATTTTCTTAATTGGGAAGATTGAGTTGTGATTTTAAAATGTTTAATCTCTTCTATTTAAACCCAGACTTCTTCTTCTTCTAGTAGCCCTAACTTCTGCTGAAAAACCAGAGAGACGCTGTCTTCTGAGGAAAATTTTCAAACTCTGTTTTCTTTGGTTTTTCACTGTGTTTCTTGTGTGAGTTCACTTCCCAGCTTTAACTCTTTTTGTTTATATGCATGTGAATTATAATTCATATATCCTTTTTGTAAATTTTTCTCTTTGCCATAGGGTCTTGTAAATGTTGGCCTTCTTGTTTTGATGATGTTTAACAAACAATTTACCACTAATGTTGTTTGTCTAGTATTTGTGTTTTCTTATTTATTATAGACAAACAACGTTGTTGGAGGATGGACGGAATAGAGCTTCAACGATCATATCCAAAGGAGGTTGGCGGAATGTCGGTGAAGCCTTGCAATTCAAAGTTAAAGATCAAGTTCAAGCTTCATCCGCACGTGTACCAAGTTGAGCTCAATGAAGATCAAGATCAAGCTTGGGTAACTTTAGTTTAGGTGTTATATTATGTGTGTTAAGTACGTTAAGCTCAATATAATATACACACACATTATGTTGGTTTTCATATATATATATATATATATATAACCCTAATCACCCCCCCTCTAGGGTCCAACAATTGGTATCAGAGCTTGGTCTCTATATCAGTTTTTGGTTTAACAACCTTAGAGAAAAGATCTAATGGAGGCCTCTTTGAATATGCATATGTTGGAAGGACAATCCACCACTAGACCACCTCTCTTCACAGGGACCAATTTTGCTTATTGGAAGGCTAGGATGAGAATTTACCTTCGTTGCATTGATCTTGACATCCTAGGGCTTATAGAAAAGAAATATGTAGAGAAGTCCAAAGTTGAGAACATGTCCGATGATGAAAGGCACCTTGCCAATCTCAATGCTAAGGCCATGAACGCCTTAATCTGTGGTCTTTCCCCCAATGAATACAATAGGGTTTCCACGTGTGCAACCGCATACGAAATTTGGCAAAAATTATGTGTCACACATGAAGGAACACCCCAAGTTAAGGAATCTAAGATTAGTGGACTCATGCATGATTATGAGCTATTTAAAATGCTTCCTAATGAATCCATTGATGCTATGTTTTCCCGTTTTACTAATATCATCAATGAATTACATGGTCTAGATAAGCAATTATCCATTCAAGAGATGAACTACAAGATACTTCGCTCATTGACTCCGGCATGGGAGCCCAAGGCTACGGCCATTGAGGAAGCTCATGACCTCACTATCTTAGCTCTTGATAGTCTCATCGGAAAGCTCAAAGTGCATGAGAAGAAGCTCAAGGGGAAGGAGAAGGAGGAAGTGCCATCACGAGAAGTTGAGGAGCCGTCACCAAAGTTGAAGACCATAGCTCTCAAGGGAGCTAGTGACAACTCATCTTCGTCGTCGGAGAGTGAAGTTGATTTTTCTAGAGAAGTGGCTCATCTCTCTAGAAGAATCTCTAGACTTATAAAAATGAACAAAAAATTTAACCCTCGATCTAACAACAAGTTTTCCTCTCGTGTAGGTAAATGTTTTGAGTGCAATGAACCGGGTCACATCGCTAAGGATTGCCCCAAGCTCAAAGAAAAGTACATGAAGTACAAGAAGAAGAAGGCTATGTATGCCGGATGGGAAGAATCCGAACCAAGTGACTCGGATAGTGATGAAGAAGGAGCCAAACTTGCTCTTCATGACCCAAATGTTTGTTTCATGGCAAATGAACATGAGGTAATATCCGAGGCCGAAAGTGAATCTTTTTATATGCAATGTGACATAGCTATGGCTTTAGAAGAGTTGAACTTTGAATTTAAAAGAATGTCTAAAGAATACTCTTCTTTCAAAAAATTGCATGCCTCTTGTGATATTAAGCTAGAACAACTAACAACCTCTCTTGCTCTAAAAGATGAATTGCTTGGAGATCTCGATTTTGAGAACAAGCAATTAAGATCAAAGATTGAAAGACTAGAAATTGAGGGTTGTAGGACTAGACCCACTCATGCTTATGCCAACTACAATCACCATGGTAGAAATAGGTTTCATGGTTCTAACATTCGTACATACAAAAGAAATTTTGTATGCACCTATTGTATGAGACATGGACACATTTCTACTCATTGTAGAATTAAAGACAATGAAGATTTTTATGGTTTGATATGGGTACCCAAAGGTACCAAAACTACTAACCACCAAGGACCCAAGACATGGGTACCTAAAGCTACTACACCTTCATCTTCTTCTTTTGTAGGGAACGTCACGGCAACGACGTAAGGAGATGTGGTACCTTGATAGTGGTTGCTCACATCATATGACGGGCAACAAAGAGTTATTTGCAACCCTATCAAGGATTGAAGGAGGCAATGTCTCCTTCGGTGGTGGTGAGAAAGGTAAAATCATTGGTATCGGTTCTATTGGTAAGAAACCCTCACCCATTATTGAAGATGTTTATTTAGTAAATGGCTTGAATCATAATCTTCTTAGCATTAGCCAATTAAGTGATAAAGGTTTTGATATTTCTTTTAAACCGGATAAATGCATCATTAGTATGGATGGAAAAATTGTTTTTATTGCAAATCGCAAGTCTAATGTTTACATTTTTGAGATGAATGAGTTAGTGAATCAAGATGTGAAGTGTCTTGCGGCAATTGATGAAAATCCTTGGATTTGGCACAAGAGACTTGGACATGCAAATATGGAGTTAATATCAAAATTGTCTAAGAAGAATCTTGTGAAAGGGCTACCTAGCTTGCACTTCATAAAAGATACAATTTGTGAGGATTGTGCCAAAGGTAAACAAACAAAGTCTTCTTTCAAATCCATCCATGAGGTATCGACTTCTAAACCCTTGCAATTACTTCATCTTGATTTATTTGGTCCTATGCGTGTTACCTCTCTTGGAGGCAAACACTATGTTTTTGTGATTATTGATGATTTTTCTCGTTTTACATGGACAATATTTCTTGCTAAGAAAAATGATTGTTTTGAAGAATTTGCTAATCATGTTAAAAGAATTGAAAATGAAAAGGATTTGAAAGTTGTTAAAATAAGAAGTGATCATGGTGGTGAATTTCAAAATGAATTTTTCTATGATTTTTGTGCTCATCATGGTATAACTCATATGTTTTCCGCTCCTAGAACACCACAACAAAATGGTGTTGTTGAACGGAAAAATCGTACCATACAAGAGATGGCACGCACTATGTTAAACTCATTTGATTTACCAAAATATTTTTGGGCGGAAGCCGTCAATACGGCTTTCCATGTTTTTAATCGTGTTTTGATTAGACCAAAGCTTAAGAAAACTCCTTATGAACTTTATTATGGAAAAACTCCTTTCATTGGTTATTTTCGTGTCTTTGGTTGCAAATGCTTTATTTTAAATA